ATACAGGAAGGACAGAGAAGACGGGCAATGCAGTTAGACAATACGCGGAGTCAGACCGAGGTTGACAACTTGTTTATTCGCGTTCTTTTTTCCTGCCACTTCAGTCCACTAGGGGCTGAGGGGAAGCAAGACTGACGAGCTTTTTCAACATGCTTCGATTCACAAGAAATCCCTTTTCCCCATATTGCTGACCGAATACAATGACATCTCCACCCCCCTTTGGAGGCGCAACATGAACACCATACAAGACACTCGGACGTACCTTATTGACCTGCTTTGGCCGGCAGTCATAGTCAGACTGATCGTCAGTGGAAGAGAGCGCGACATCATCGCAGCTTGAAGACACAGAACGGGCACGCGGGGGTTCGCGAGAGGGGTGGTTAGACGAGGGCCGGGGGTGCGCGCTGTGGCGCGAGGAGCCGACTGTTCTCCCCTCATCTGCTATACTCGGCGAATCAACCTCCGGCACGAGAGGCAGTCGACCGGAAGTGGATGAGGAAGACAGACCACGCCCTCCATGTAGTGGTGAAGTACCGGTAGACTGCAGCAAAAAAGAGAAACAAAGATGATTTTCATCTGGGGACTGAGGAAATTCAAATAGTGTCTACGTGGTAGTTTATGCAGAACCGGGAGGGGGTGTAAGGTGCAGCAGAAACTATAAGGCTGGTCAACCTGAAAGTCATCGGGGATGAGAAGTTTTGGTTAGCTACCAAGTGTGATTTTACGAAATTTAACAGCGACCAATACGGTTGTGGCTAGGGAAATTAAAGTAAGTACTCTCAGAAAGGAAGTCTCCAGTAGGTATATCAAACTTTTCGGTCATATTACGTGAGAAACTTAGCGTAATAAAGTCAATAATCCTGAGATCAAGCCAGTTGTATTTCAGGAATACTATATTAAATACCAGACATTGCCCTGTGTTCCAGATGCGTAGTGGTCCTCTTGCGGCTAAGAAGAATTTGATTATGCGTCAATTACCTACAAGGCTCATCTTCAAATTCGCTCTCCCAGTTGTCCGACGCAACTGGCCTGGAAAACCGAGTAAACGTTAGCCAGAGTCAACTAGTCAGACGTCCAGAGGAGGATGAAACGAAGTTTACT